CTAGTGACGCCAAGGCTGAATAGACGTATTGTTCCGATTGTCGTGGGACTCTCTCTTGCCGGTGTCAGAGACGGCTTTCTTTAGAGCGCTAAAGAAAGCCGTCTCTGGTGTGGACCAATCAGTTTCAAAGACAATGCATCATCATCATATACTACCAGAGCACGTGTTTTTTTTTTCTGCTTGCATGTTCATCGCAAGTTTATGCGGTTAATGCGGAGATGATTCCTTGCAAAAGGTTTCAGTTTGGTGTTTTAACACCCTAACACAAACTGTTTTATTGCCAGAAAGGGTAAAACCTTTTGTCATGTTTCGATCGTGGATGTACCGTATGTGTCGAACTTCTTTCGCGCCGTACGTGGTCCGACCGTGCCAATCGGAGGTGTGGCGATGGACGACAAACTTAAAAAAAACAAACTAATACAAAAAGCAGTTATACAGAAATTAGTTTTCAATCAACCCACCTGTTAAATTTTGATTTAAAGCTTTCGTGATTGCAGTGATTCATATTCTTGGTTCTTTCGGTAAAGTCACGTTGAAGGGAAACAATAAAATAATAATATATATAAAACAATACAATTCTCACGACGTTTCGACTGCAACACGTGATAATTTTATTGTTTTATATATTTTATTATTTTATTGTTTCCCTTCAACGTGACTTTACCGAAAGAACCAAGAATATGAACCCACCTGTTATTAACCCAGTTAAAGTAGTTTCGTACGCCCATCAGATTGTTTACTTAAGAACCAATTAGCATGGGTGCAGGGTCGCCTCCTCGAATTCATTTTGTGTTTCCAATGTCAATCGCGAATGTAAGTGTGTCTTGGGCGTCACGGTGGCTAGGAGATGTTGACTCCCTCTCCTTGTATGGAGGAGGTGGTGGGTTCGATCTGGACCCTGACGCCTGTATTGTGCAGTTTGCGTGTCTCGGTCTCCCCAATGGTCGCGTGGATTTTTTCCGGGTCGTCCGGCTTTTCCCTCCACATTTACAATCAACATCACGCGTTTAGAGTATTTGGCTGCTATACATTTCCACACGACAAGCCAATTTGTTGAGCTATCATTTGCGGCAAGGTCGTTTCTAAAAAAAGAGCTATATAGCTCAGTCGGCCTTACCTGGTGAACTAAAAAATAGTTTAGTTTAGTCTTTGCATGTGTTTTACTGTGGAGGGGAGCGGTTAGCACGCTGTTTTATGAACCCAGCAACCCGAGTGACGATTATCTGAATCGGTCCTGGTCCTCCCTTAAGTTAACTTAATTGACAATGTAAACGATATGCTGTGCATTATAGCAAGTCCAGATCAGGTTAGGTGCTGCTATGAAATTCGGATGTCAGAATCAGAATGTTTGTTTATACTGGAGGAATCCGATGAACTATAAAGCTCTTTCTCCAAATGTGAAGTAATGAGGAAATTTATCATTCTCCTTTGCTGACCGCATATCTATGACTCCATTTAAAAATCATTCCATGCTGTCGACGAACCTGCCCCCGTTCCAGTCCAGGATCCGTTTTTCTTGACTGACTGCAGCATCTCATTGCCTCTCTTTAAAGTGCCAGCTGCTAACGTAAGCATCTTGAGAGGCGGTAGCATCTAGACGCTGTCATCATCATCATCAGCCATGGCTAATCCACTGCTGGATGAACGCCTACCCCCCCTGAAAACCGCTGACACCTTTCACAATATTGCCACGAAACGCTCCACACCCATTACCTGCGCAGAATCAGAATCGCAATCTTTATTTAGACTCGAGGAGGAATCCGATGAGGTGCGAAGCTCATTTTCAGCGAAGCTCATTTTCAGCAAACAAACTTGTTCGCGGTCATTCTCGATTTGAAGCTTTCGTGACTGCAGGAATCCATACTTTTTGGTTCTTTCGGTAAAGTCACGTGACTTTACCGAAAGAACCAAAGAGTATATAGGAATAGGTTTTACCCTTTTAACTGGCACAAAAACTGACACCTTTATTCAAGGCATCATGTTTGCAATAACCACAACACAAGCAGTCAAAATGCAAACAAAAGAGACAACTCTGATAATAATATGCACTGTCCTTGAATTTGATTGGTCCACACCCGAGACATCTTTTCTTAGTGCCTAGTCTCCACTGGTGTTGGACCAGAAGACGCCAAAAGGCGTACAACTCAAAAACAGAGCACTATCAGAGTATTGAGGGCTCGGGGTGAGCATTTACATTACGAGACCTCCTTTGCCAGTAACAAGATATATCTTGTTACTGGCAAAGGAAGTCTCATAATGAAAAACCAAAGAGTATTTGTTCGCGGTAGTTCAATCTCCACCGACGCTCAAGCTGAAAACACGTTTAAAAAAAAGTATATAATCTGAACGTAAGCTGGAACTAAATTGATAATAAATAAAGCTGATATTTAATTGAAAAAAAAAGCTTAATTGAAAATGAAACGTATCATAGCTTACGGTGTTAAACCACCCACCCCATTGGACGCGGGCGAATTTAGACAGGGGTCGCTATGGCTATTGCGATCCAGTAATCCTTTGTGTGCTGAAAAGTCCTCGTATTTAGCATTACATTTCAGGGGTGGAGGGGGGTGGGGGGGGCAGTTAAGGAGCAAAGTTTTCTCTGCGGGAGGCACCTGCCCCCCTTACGTCTTCCAAATACGCGCGCGAGAGCCCCGTGGGAGCTGTGGCGCAGCGGGAGTCGAAGCCGGCAACAACCCCGGGTTCGACCCCCGCTCGCGGACTTCACCGCCAGGTGACGATTTTCCGAACCGGTTACCCGAGCCTCAACGTAGGGTAGGACTCGGCCTCAAATGACGACACCCCCGGCGCGGTGTGTCAACGTCGCCCCTCGTGGAGACAAAAGCGGTCGGGAGTGGTGTTCGGCCACCCACCCTCTCGTGTGCCGTTGCAGGCCTTCATTAGGTGGCTCCCTAACAGCAATTGCAATCTGCTCAGGCTATACGGACACACGTGTGTGTGTACGTGGGCTTATGAGTGCGTAACTTCGTGTGTACGTGCGCGAGTCTGTGGCTTTGGCTGTGCTCTTGAGATATAAATCTGCCCGTGATGGGCGTGGGGGTAGTGGGGGTAGGAATCCGAGGCGGTGGCGGAGGGGGGGGGACTGTTGAGATGGCTTGCGGAGCGAGTTGAATGCGCTAAGCGGTGAAGGGAGGGAGGGGATGGGAGACACTGCGGGGAGGTGCGGGAGGGCGTGTGGAGGCTGGGAGGGAAGGGAGCCTGGAAAGGGAAGGGAGGGAGGGATGCTGGGAGAGAGGCGAGGATGGAGGGAGGCACTGCAGCGAGGTGGGGGAGGGAGGCGAGGACGCGGGGAGGGAAGGAGGGAGACGCTGCGGGGAGGTGCGGGAGGAGAAAGTGTCACGGCCAGGAGTCTGATGCATGGAGGGTAAGACTCGCCCTTTGGCCTACGGCGATCGCTTACTGCGGTGTTCCCAGAAGTCATGGCGTGACTAACGCCTTAAGAAGCTTACAGGGAATTCTTGGGCGCGCTGCTAATCACGCACACTTCTCTTTTAAAAAAAAAAGGGGGACGTGGGGAGAAATTAAAACAAGGCGAGGGCGTTTAACTCCGGCGGAATATGCGCAAGAAACTGGCCAGGCGTATAGCGGGATTATATGTACTGTATACGCATGCATAGGACCTGCAGTATTCAACAAAGTCTCCAATGTGTATATTTTTAAAAGGAAGGGATCGAGAAATAAACAAGACTAAAATGTCGAACAAAGCCGATGATTGTTGTAGTGTTAGCACGCGTAGCACCGCGTGCAGAATGGGTGATGACCAACACGTTTCGCGGAGAACGCATTCAGGCACGGGGAAAGTATGCACACGAGAAACACTAAATGGCTTTAATTGAAAGGGGAACTTTAAACAGTGGGTGATGTATGATACTGCGAGCGTGACCTATGCCCCCGGTTGGTAATTCATATTCAGGATTTCGTATCTCGGCCAAACTAACGACTGCCTTCAAGACCTCTCTAGTGCGACTGCATGTATGACGCCGATCATTTTCCAGAGATTTTTGGGAGGGATATTCTTGCTGTTGTTCTGCCGTAGAAGATGCAAGGTTATTTCGTCTCCGACCTTGGTTTCGTCTTTACCGTGCAACCGTTTAATCGATAATTAAAAACCCTCGTTCGAGACCCCAAAAACGTCGCCACCTCCTTGGCCTTGACGTCCCTCGAAGGAGCTGGTGGTGCACAACCATCAAACCTGCATCAGAACACCGACAAGGCCAAATGCGCGGCATCCCCTTCACCAGCGGACAAAACGGGAGACACGATATCGACGACAGTGGGGACGTGCGACCCAAACTATGAATCGCACCGAGAGCTCACTGCGGTAGTCTGTGCTCCCATAAGAGGAGGACGAGGAGGTGGCAGAATAACAACGACTCCATCAACTCTTCCTGCGATGCTCTCTCTCTCTCTCGTTGCTGGCCAGCGAAGCTCCGACATTGGCACGTAGCTCCCGAACGAATATATTGCGGTCATCATGCACAAGAATTAAAGTTCACTCGCGATAGGTAAACAAAAACATAAAAATATAAAAATAAACTGACCCCCGGGTCTCAATGGTAAGACCTCAGTTGGGCTTTGCCTGGTAGCATGGGGACGGTTTAGTTTTATTTGTTTGTGCCTGGGTGATCTGTTTACATTTCTTGTACTTATCGTCTTTTGTTTGTTTGTTTGTTGTAACGTTCTTACCCGTTCCGACTGCAAAAAAGAGCTTCACAGCTCATCGGATTCCTCCAGTACATATATAAATATTCGGATTCTGACCATTTGAGGAGACGATACGCCGTGCTGGTGGCAGCAGCAGCGCGAGTGGAACGATCCATTTGGCTAAAAGGCGCGGCAGGTGTAAGCAATCTTCCCCCGCCCACCAATCCACCCTCGAAAGCGCATTTTCTCGACTATTCCAGAATCAGAATATTGACCAGAATCAGAATATGTATTCATACTGGAGGAATCCGATGAGCTATAAAGCAATTTTTTCACAGATGTTCAAGCTGGCCTGACGTCTTGGAAGAGGTTCGGAGTACGCACGCTTCACTCCACCACCACCACCGCCACCGCCACCACACGTGACATTGCCGATCGACTAACCACGTGTTCATCGTTTCAACGTCGCCATCCGGGAGATCGAAAGGCGAACCAGAGGGTGATGTCTGGTTCGCAAGTCCATCGCAGGACTCATAACACCAGGGAAGCATCCGCTATTATTTTAATGCTAAGGATGGATATAACGAGAACTCAATGCCTATTTGTTTAGTAAAATAATAATACAATAATCTAATAATAATGTCTGCTCGAATGTGAGAACAGCTTGAAATTTGAATACATTTTAGAGCAAGGGTCAGTATATTAAATTGAATAAATTAACTAAACTCGCCGAGCATTATGTAAAGGGTAGGGTGCGGTACAAAGAATTACGCAAAAGGTCATAAAATGCCACAGTTACTTTAGTAATTCTTTGGTTCAAAAAGGGACCGATAGGTACTGCCAATAGATGATAAATCACCGCCAACTCTTGTGCTGGCTGAAGATGGCTTGGCCGTGAGTGATGCACACACGTTATTGGATTTGCCCTCTTCAACCCACGGGGCTGAGAGGGGTTTTTTCCTTGGTACCACTCGGGGTGGAAAATGCGACTCTAGTGTCCACTATAGGCAGAGAGCATTGGTTTTTATAATGCACAGTTCCCAATTATTTTCAAAACATACAACGCAGGTTCCCTTTTGACGACACTCTTAAAAATAAAACTACCACCGTGCCCTTGCTACCATACGGATTTGCCATTCAGAGATACAATTCTGAAAGAAAATCATCGGTAGCATGTGCAACCCTCCGTTGTACCGATGAGCCATTTTTGGGCCAATTGATAATGGACCAATCGTTTAGAAAATCTGCAGCACTTTTTTTTAATTACTCTTACTATTCTTCTGGTTGTGTGGTACAGTATCTTTTAACAATGTCTTTGTCCGAGTGAAAGTAATTTTTAGTGCCGAGCATCTGAGGTAAGCAAGTCGTCATTCATCAACCATGATCTAGCCACTGCTGGCTGAAGGCCTCACCAAAGCAACTTCTTGGACAATGTCCTCGTAATACTGGCCATCCTGGCGGTCGATCTGACACGGAGTCTCCCTGCTCTCGATTTTCAACCTCCCCGGTTGCATGTCTCCGTCCCGAGCAACGTTGACGGAGAGTGCACCCGTTTCAACGTCTGTGGTGGACACCTCCCTGGGGTGGACACCTATCGTGGTGGAGGAGCCATTCAAAAGTGATCAACAACGCAGGTGGCTGGGTATGTACACTCGCGGCACAATGTTGCTGATGGTCAATTGTCCCTTGTACTCTACGAGGGCGCCACAGTAGCAAGATGTTAACTCCCTCGCCTGGTCAAACAGGAGGTCACGGGTTCGATCCCGACCCTGCCGCCTGTATATTTGGAGTTTGAATGTCTCTCTCTCTCCGTGGTCGCATGGATTTATGTCGGGGTCCTCCTCCAGTTTTTCCCTCCACATTTGTAAACGTGTGTTTAGAATATTTGGCTGTATCTAAATTTCCAGGCTATGTTGCAGTTTAAGGCCACGTGAAGTGTCAAATGCCCGCTGGCAGGTCACGGGACAGACCCAGGTGCCCATGGGTCGACTGGCTGAGATGATATCGCTTAATACGGGTCGGGCTTTCTCGTTAAAAAAGGACTCGATCAAACAAGTCTCACTCGGTGAGACTTTGCAAGGTAAATGTGGCAGGAAGTGGTGTTTTTTCTGTCCCGTCTCACAGTTTTAATTTGGAACAAGCACTTTCACATTTCTCATTAAAAAGTGGTATCGGGTCACACCTGTACCGTTCACTGAAGCTCTTTTTTATATAAAGCGCCACATTTTGTTGCCCACACAACAACAACAACAGGTTTGCACACGCTTCAACATGTAGGCTTTCGCGGGAAATATTATCCGTAATGAAGGTTTTTTTTTCCGGGTTAGATGACGTAAATATAAATGTGTCGTGAAAGCCGCCACCACCCGACACAGCCAATTAGTGAGGTTTGTCACGTAAACAAAACGTGCCATTTAGTTACTACTTCAGCACATAAACAAAACGTGCCATTTAGTAACTTATTGGCACGTTTTTTTTAAGTGACAAACCTTATTAATTGGCTGTGTCGGGTGGTGGCGGGTTTTACGACATGTATATTTACGTGATCTAACCCCCCCTCCGCCTTTATTATGTACACGCTTTGTGTAAATGCGTCTTGCACACCCACAGCAGGAAAGTTTAATTTTGCATGCTGCGGCATGACTATTTTACAACGTCGTTGATCATGAAATGTCGCTTAACAGAATGGGTCAGGAAGATCATTTTCTGCACCGCAAGCACTGTATCTGATATACAGTACGGCACTGTAAAGACCGCTCTGGGTATTCTTTATCCATCTCGAGAGGAAAAATAATAATAATTTTTTTACGTGGAAACACGCAAATTACGTTGGCATGTTTTCCCCAACACGCTCAAGCGCTATCTTTGGAATAGCAATTTCAGAAGTTACGTGGAATGTCTCACATTGTGAAATGTAAACGTATATAATCCTTGCGGATTATTTCAGGATTGAATTTGCCAACAATGCATGTATAAATTTGTGAAATCTGAAACGTTTGTTCACTCATTAGCAGGCTCCACTCAAATTTGAATAGCTTTTTTTTCATATAGCATGTGTGTGGAATTGTTCACTTGTGAAGGAGGAATTTGTGTGGTTTTTGACGACTTAAATACCTCTCCTGGTATGCAGGAGGTTGTGGGTTCTATCCCAACCCTAACGCGTATATTTGGATTTTGCATGTTCTCTCTCTCCCCGTGGTCGTGTGGATTTTTCTCCGGGTCCTCCGGATTTCCCCTCCACATTTAGAATCAACGTGCGTTAGAGCATTTGGCTGCTAGAAATGTCCACGTGATAAGTCACCTCGTTGAGCTGCCATTTGTGGTCAGGTGTTTTTTTTTTTAAAGGAGCTACATAGCTCAGTGGGTCTTACCTGGTAAAAATAAAAGTGTAAATAGTTTTAGCATATGGTTTGTTTAAATCATAATATTAATAGTTATAATTCTTATGCCTTTTGAGTCGCTGGTGTAAACAAAGCTGTGTGCACTACACATGGAGAACAGTGATGTCACGTGACATGCAGTAAATTCACCTTGGTGTATTATTACTCCTAAGTCTTGGGTGGGTTACTTTTCAAAAGTAATAATTTTTTGATCAATGTACTTCATGTGGTTTTAGGAATAATGTGATACATTCACATATTTGGTCTTTACAAATCAAACGGATTATAGTAATTCATTACTTCATAATAAAGGTTTTTGGGTTAGATCGCGTTATTTATAAATGTGTCGTAACCCTCCACCACCCGACACGGCCAATCATCAAAAAAGTGTCACGTTGACAAAAGACAAATAATTCACTACTTTAGCCCACCGGTGTGTCGAAGAGTGAATCCACAACATTTACAGTTTGAGTACGACGTTTCGCTGGTAAATACATCCAGCATCATCGGGCAATTCGCCAGAATGGATGTATTTACCAGCGAAACGTCGTACTCAAACTGTAAATGTTGTGGATTCACTCTTCAACACACCGGTGGGCTAAAGTAGTGAATTATTTGTCTTTTGTCAACGTGACACTTTTTTTGCTGATTGGCCGTGTCGGGTGGTGGAGGGTTACGACACATTTATAAATAACGCGATCTAACCCAAAAACCTTTATTATGAATAATATTGGTCGCGAAAGCCTACGTGTTAAACTAATTCATTACTTGTTTGATTGCTTTTGTAATATATATTTTTCTTTCAATTAACATGTGAAATGCATCACCTTCCTTTGTGTACCTCCATGTTTAAAGGTAAAATATTTGTAATTTCAGCAACAGGCGAGTGGACTTCCAGATGCGTCACGTGTCCATAGGGAAGATGATGAGCTGAGTGGCCCCACAACCGGGATTTGATTCGTAACCGTCCGATTATTACCGGTCATCCGCTAACCACACCAGAGCACCATCTGGCTAGACAATGTAGCTGCGTATGTAACAATAATAATGTAATGAAAATAACGTACAGTGAGGGAAAAAAGTATTTGATCCCCTGCTGATTTTGTACGTTTGCCCACTGACAAAGAAATGATCAGTCTATAATTTTAATGGTAGGTTTATTTGAACGGTGAGAGACAGAAGAACGACAAAAAAATCCAGAAAAACGCATGTCAAAAATGTTATAAATTGATTTGCATTTTAATGAGGGAAATAAGTATTTGACCCCTCTGCAAAACATGACTTAGTACTTGGTGGCAAAACCCTTGTTGGCAATTACAGAGGTCAGACGTTTCTTGTAGTTGGCCACCAGGTTTGCACACATCTCAGGAGGGATTTTGTCCCACTCCTCTTTGCAGATCTTCTCCAAGTCATTAAGGGTTTGAGGCTGACGTTTGGCAACTCGAACCTTCAGCTCCCTACACGGATTTTCTATGGGAAAAAGGTCTGGAGACTGGCTAGGCCACTCCAAGACCTTAATGTGCTTCTTCTTGAGCTACTCCTTTGTTGCCTTGGCCGTGTGGTTTGGGTCATTGTCATGCTGGAATACCCATCCACGACCCATTTTCAATGCCCTGGATGAGGGAAGGAGGTTCTCACCCAAGATTTGACGGTACATGGCCCCGCCCATCGTCCCTTTGATGCGGTGAAGTTGTCCTGTCCTCTTAGCATAAAAACACCCCCAAAGCATAATGTTTCCACCTCCATGTTTGACGGTGGGGATGGTGTTCTTGGGGTCATAGGCAGCATTCCTCCTCCTCCAAACACGGCGAGTTAAGTTGATGCCAAAGAGCTCCATTTTGGTCTCATCTGACCACAACACTTTCACCCAGTTGTCCTCTGAATCATTCAGATGTTAATTGGCAAACATCAGACGGGCATGTATATGTGCTTTCTTGAGCAGGGGGACCTCGCGGGCGCTGCAGGATTTCAGTCCTTTACGGCGTAGTGTGTTACCAATTATTTTCTTGGTGACTATGGTCCCAGCTGCCTTGAGATCGTTGACAAGATCCTCCTGTGTAGTTCTGGGCTGAATCCTCACCGTTCTCATGATCATTGCAACTCCACGAGGGGAGATCTTGCATGGAGCCCCAGGCCGAGGGAGATTGACAGTTATTTTGTGTTTCTTCCATTTGCGAATAATCGCACCAACTGTTGTCACCTTCTCACCAAGCTGCTTGGCAATGGTCTTGTAGCCCATTCCAGCCTTGTGTAGAGCTCTCCTTGGAGAGCTCTTTGGTCTTGGCCATGGTGGAGAGTTTGGAATCTGATTGATTGCTTCTGTAGACAGGTGTCTTTTATACAGGTAACAAGCTGAGATTAGGAGCACTCCCTTTAAGAGTGTGCTCCTAATCTCAGCTCGTTACATGTATAAAAGACACCTGAGAGCCAGAAATATTTCTGATTGAGAGGGGGTCAAATACTTATTTCCCTCATTAAAATTCAAATCAATTTATAACATTTTTGACATGCGTTTTTTGGATGTTGTTGTTGTTATTCTGTCTCTCACTGTTCAAATAAACCTACCATTAAAATTATAGACTGATCATTTCTTTGTCAGTGGGCAAACGTACAAAATCAGCAGGGGATCAAATACTTGTTTCCCTCACTGTATGGCCCTTTATCAATCCACTCCTCGATGTTGGCCCCAGACATTCTATCAATCATTGGGAGTTGCTTAACCATACTTCACCAGAACGGTCAATGCTGCTTGGTGAAGAGGATGGTGAAGAGGATTAATCCATCATTTGCAACAGATGACGTTAGCCGTGGCCGGGAATCCAACTCAGCGTGGCTGGGTTTATAGGGCATTTGCCTTAAACCCGGCCACCTAATAGCGTCTCTTAAATATCAGTGTAGACGACAGGCAGTATGTGGCGGTGGCTGACCGATGACCGATTCAGACGTCGCTCGCCACCGAATTTGACCGTGACCAGGTCGCCGGGTTCCGAGCGCAGTATGCATAACTAATACGAAGCAATAATGATCACGCTAGCCTACATCAAGGAGGCACAAGCTTGACAGTGGAGCGCCCTGCAATTGTCTAATCGTGACTTGCGTGCCTGTGCATGTGCCGTGACATTAGGGTGGAGCGGTAGGGGTAGACGTTCGCGCTCTGTGCTACGAAGCCGGCGACCCGGGTTCGATTCCCGCTCATGGCCAACAACACCTTTGACGATTTTATGAACCGGTCCTGTGCCTCCCCCTCGGTCGACTCTTTCTCAAATGAGTACCTAGGGTGGGTGTGTAAAAATAGCCATTAGGGAGACAAAGGCGGTCAGGAGTGGTGCTGGCCACTCACCCCCTCGTGTGCCGTTCCGGCCTTCATTAAGGTGCTCGCTGACAGCACTTGCCCCAACAGTCTGTCAAATCTGTCTGGGCGATCTTTGTCTTTGTTTTGCCATGACATTGTGCGGTGTGAAGGGGCGGGGAGGGTACGGGGAGGCCCGCGTGGAGGGGCTGGCGGGGTGAATGCAGCCCAGCCGCCTTTTGGGGCTTCGCAATTCGCATGGCGCTCCAGACACGAGGGTTCTCCAGGGATTTATAATTGACCTTCGACGTGTGAGAATTATACCAATTTCTCCGCGGTCACAGTTAGCTCTTTGTTCCGAGCTGTGAGAGAGATTGACAGCTGTCGTCCCGGGGCCACTATTCAGGACTGTTGTGGGAACCAGTGGCTTCAGAAAAAAAAAGAAACTGGCCCTCAATCAAAAGAAAATTGACCGAGGGTGCCAAATCTATTGAGTCAATAGGGGAACGTGAGGGGGGGGGGGGGGGGAGCTGCTTAAGTGAAAACTAAAGCATTGGGGTTGGCGGGGTGGGGGAAATACACGGAACCAACGTTTCATACAAACTTTTGAGTAAATTAACGACCGTGCGCGATCAATCAAGTCGAGGTTAAAAACATATTTAGCGATGGTGATAACAGCGGTAGCTGTGTGTTTTATTTTTAACGCAATGTTTCCTTTCAATTACGGCAAAGCGAGGCCACTATTCCTCAATGCGCGTATCTCCAAAGCAATGCGTTTTTATTGAAGTTTCTGGGAGGATGGATGGGGGGGGGGGTACGGCGGTCAAGGGAAAATAAAGAAAAAATCTTTGTGGCCACAGCCGAACCACGCTCCCTCCCATCTTTCCCACTCTCCAGACGCCGCCTGCCCAGCAACGCAGGGGCACAATGCCCGCGTTTCAGCCGCGTTTAGGTGCCTGACAGACGATTCAGCGCGGGCACAGTGTGAGCCTAAGCCCCGTGCTTACAACATTATTTGAATGCACTTTGCTCGCACGCTAAGCAAATTGGATCATTCGGAGCTGGGGGGGTGTGTGACTTTTAGTCTCGGAGAAATCCATAAAGATGATTATTTATGGGTTTTTAATATGGAGGGGGGGGGGGGAACTCGGCGCGCCACGGGTGTGGCGTGCGTGGGTTGTATGCTGCGTGATGACTGCCTCGCCCCGCTTGCCGAGCACGTGTGCGGGCCTAACCGAGCAAAGACAAAGGTCCCCTATATAGCCAACACAGGCTGGTTGGTAAAGTGCTGTTAGCGAGCACCTATGGAGAGGGAGGACCAGCGGGGGGCGGTGGCGTGGTGGTGAGCGTAATACGGTGGCATAGTGGTTAACGTAATGCGGTGGCATAGTGGTTAACGTAATGCGGTGGCATAGTGGTTAACGTAATTCGGTGGTGTAGTGGTGAGCGTAATTCGGTGGTGTAGTGGTTAGCGTAATTCGGGGAGCGGTGGCGTAGTGCTTAGCGCAATGCGGGATGAACCCAGCACTGCGAGATCGATTTCTGCTCAAGGACAATCGTGGTTGAGATCTGAACCGGTCCTTGGCCTCCCCTAGGTTGACTCGGCCTTAAATTAGTACCTGGAACGGGGTGCAGAAGCATCAACAGCGAGGAGACAAAGGCGGTCAGGCGTGGTGGTGACAACACCACCCACTCTTGCGCTAGTGCGGCCATCATTTGGTGGTGCTTGCCACAGCAGTAAGGTGAAGTCTGTACAAGTGGTGGTGTTTGTCTATCCCTAGCTGTCTGGTGAAGTCTGTACTGGTGGTGTTTGTCTATCTCTAGCAGTCTGGTGAAGTCTGTACAAGTGGTGGTGTTTGTCTATCCCTAGCTGTCTGGTGAAGTCTGTACCGGTGGTGTTTGTCTATCTCCAGCAGTCTGGTGAAGTCTGTACTGGTGGTGGTGTTTGTCTATCTCTAGCAGTCTGGTGAAGTCTGTACTGGTGGTGGTGTTTGTCTATCTCTAGCAGTCTGGTGAAGTCTGTACTGGTGGTGGTGTTTGTCTATCCCCAGCAGTCTGGTGAAGTCTGTACCAGTGGTGGTGTTTGTCTATCTCTAGCAGTCTGGTGAAGTCTATACTGGTGGTGGTGTTTGTCTATCTCTAGCAGTCTGGTGAAGTCTGTACTGGTGGTGGTGTTTGTCTATCCCTAGCAGTCTGGTGAAGTCTGTACCGGTGGTGTTTGTCTATCTCTAGCAGTCTGGTGAAGTCTGTACCGGTGGTGTTTGTCTATCTCTAGCAGTCTGGTGAAGTCTGTACCGGTGGTGTTTGTCTATCTCCAGCAGTCTGGTGAAGTCTGAACCAGTGGTGGTGTTTGTCTATCTCTAGCAGTCTGGTGAAGTCTGTACAGGTGGTGGTGTTTGTCTATCTCTAGCAGTCTGGTGAAGTCTGTACTGGTGGTGGTGTTTGTCTATCTCTAGCAGTCTGGTGAAGTCTGTACTGGTGGTGGTGTTTGTCTATCCCCAGCAGTCTGGTGAAGTCTGTACCAGTGGTGGTGTTTGTCTATCTCTAGCAGTCTGGTGAAGTCTGTACTGGTGGTGGTGTTTGTCTATCTCTAGCAGTCTGGTGAAGTCTGTACTGGTGGTGGTGTTTGTCTATCCCTAGCAGTCTGGTGAAGTCTGTACCGGTGGTGTTTGTCTATCTCTAGCAGTCTGGTGAAGTCTGTACCGGTGGTGTTTGTCTATCTCTAGCAGTCTGGTGAAGTCTGTACCGGTGGTGTTTGTCTATCTCTAGCAGTCTGGTAAAGTCTGTACCGGTGGTGTTTGTCTATCTCTAGCAGTCTGGTAAAGTCTGTAGAAGTGGTGGTGTTTGTCTATCTCTAGCAGTCTG